TTTTTTTTTTTTTTTTTTTTTGAGTCAGAGTCTCACTTTGTAGAGACGAGGTATTCTCAAGTTGGCCAGGTTGGTCTTGAACCTCTGGACTCAGATGATCCTCTTGTCTCTGCCTCCCAAAGTGCTGGAATTACAGGCGTGAGTCACTGTACTCAGCGAAGAACCTTCTCTTTAATACTTCAGTGGAATGAAAACAGTAGAGGTAGTTTTCAGGTTTTAGTCACTGGCTTTGCCATTAAACAGAAAGATGGTAAACTCTGTTCAGACACAGCCTAAATTTGTGTTTTTATTTGAATAGCAGTTTTCATCTTCTGCCCGTCTCCCTAGTCCTCCTGTACCTTTTTGCTTGTTCTATTATTGTTAGCACAATTGAAGATAGAGTAGGACATAATTCTGCTGCTTATTTTGGGAAGGAATATGGGGACTATAACCATTTGGGATTGGATTCTTTGGAGTAAATGGTATTTTTGGAGAAAATATCTCAAAGCAAAGGTGTGCTACAGCATGAATGAACTGAAAAATAGTAAGCAAAGTAAAAGAAGCTATTATGTAAAAGACTGAATTATTTTTTTTTTTGAGTTGGAGTACAGAGGCATGATCTTAGCCATTGCAGCCTTGACCTGCTGGGCTCAGGCAATCCTCTTACCTCCGCCTCCCAAAGTGCTGGGATTACAGGCATGAGCCACCATGCCCAGCAAGACCATCTTTATCAATTGAATTGAATATGCATGAACTTTATGACTCCATTTATGTGACATGTCCAGCAAAGGTAACTCTATAGAGACCTAAAGTAGAGGGTCATTTGGAGCTAGAGGTGGGAAGGGGGCATGACTATAAATGGACATGAGAGATCCTTTGGGAGTGAGGAAAATGTTTTAAAACTGGATTGTAGGCCAGGAGCAGTGGCTCATGCCCGTAATCCCGGCACTTTGGGAGACCGAGGCAAGAGTTCTTGCCTGAGTCCAGGGATTCGAGACCAGCCTGGGCAACTTGGTGAGAACTCGTCTTTACATTAAAAAAAAAAAAAAAAATAGCTGCTTAGGGTGGAGCATGCCTGTGGTTGTAGCTACTTGGAAGGCTGAGGTAAAAGGACCGCCTGAGCTCAGCTGTTTGAGACTGTGAGAACCGTGATAGTGAACTCCAGTGTAGGTGACAGTGAGACTGCAACTCAAAAAAAAAATTGGATTGTGGCAATGGCTGCACAATTATGTATAGTTACTAAAAATTATTGCATTATACATTTGGAGGAAAAAAAATCTGTTTTCAACATGATCTTTTAAGGCTCCATAGTATTCAATAGATTGTTTTCTTCCAATCCTAGTTTTTTGTTTATTTTTCAAACTGAAGCATTGAGATGGCTTATATTTTCTATAGTTTTTCTCTCTGTGTCCTGTGTCACAGCTCTCCATCCTGCTGAAAAACCAGGATGACCTTGATAAAGCAATTGACATTTTGGATAGAAGCGCAAGCATGAAGAGCCTGAGGATATTGCTGCTGTCGCAGGACAGAAACCACGTAAGTAACCCCTACCACGGTCTGGCCGTTGAAAACAAAGCTGACTTTCCTTCCAGAATTCTCCTTGCCTCCTGGACAGAATTTTTCGTTCCTCAGTCCCTGCCACACTGAGAGCATAGCATGGCCTAGCCCACTGAGCCAGTGGCCAGTGAGCCTTCTGCTCCGGATTTTACCAGGAATCCAGACTGTCAGTGTGAACGTTGCAGCAATAGGTTATTGGGCCTATACTGTGGGTGAAAGGAAAACACTTGCTAATAAAACAGAAAACTCTTTTTCTCTATCTTTTTGTTCTTTTGATTAGACTTTGACCCCAACAAGAGAGGTTTGACTAGTAAGAGCATGCTGATAGCAAAGGCCGTCAGGACTTGAGACTGTCAAGCTTTAAAAAACCAAATCCCACAGCTCCAAGTCCTAACAAGCTTTTTATTTTTTTTTTATTTTTTATTTGTTTGAGTCAGAATCTCACTCCTTCTCCCAGGCCTGAGTGCAGTGGCAAGCACGCTCATGGCCACCCCAGCATCGCCCTTCTGGACTCCAGCGATCCTTCTACCTCAGCCTTCTCAGTAGCTGGAACTACAGATGCGTGCTACCATGCCCGGCTATTTTTTATTTTATTATAGAGACGAGGTCTCGCCAAGTTGCCTGGGCTGGTCTCAAACCCGTGGAGCTCAGGCAGTCCGTTCGCCTCGGCCTCCCAAAGTGCTCAGATGACAGGCTGAGCCACGGAGCCCGGCCCTGACAAGCGTTTTAAAACCAAATCCCACAGCTCCCCTGCTGCCTCGCCTTCCCCTTTGGGGCACATTCAGGAAATAAACTTCTTCTGTTCCGTGGAAAGAAAGACCACTGGCTAGGGCACCTCATAACTCACCAGCTGCTGCTTTACTGCAGGGCAGGCCATCTACAGGGGTGTCAGAAGTGGGCAGTTTCCTCTCCTGAAGGGTCCCTGGGGGTCCACGTTTCCCGAGAACACTTGCAATCTGGATCTGTCTTTGTTTCTTCGGATGCATGTTTCTGAGGCTTCTTGGCATGCTTTCCTTTTCTTGCCTTGAAGACAGCCGACCGTGGACAGCCACCATGGCTATGTGAGGACTGTGGGTGTACTGTGTAATGTGCCCAGCAGAGTTTAAGTGGAATGGTGCTTGTGATGACCATTTATTTTCTGGAGAGACTTATGTGCTTGGGCTGTCCTATTGATTAGGGGGTAGCACAGGAGAATGTAGCTAGGAAGCCATAAAATAAAAGACGTGTTCTAGTGTGGCAGTCCTCCCTTACCTAGGGGGATTGTGTCGTTCCAAGACCCCAGTGGATGCCTGAGACTATGGATAGTGCCAAACCCAACTGCTGTCAGTTGGAACACATTTCTGCTGTCTTACATTTAGTGTCTTTTTCATTGTAAATAAACACCACACACTGTGGCCATAGCTTTTAGTTTGAGGTGTGACAGCAAAACTCATGTAAATTCCTTTTTCCTTCTTTACAATTTCACAGATAGAAGATTCATTCTCACTGTATATCAAACCAACTTCGGCATGTGACTTTTTTTCTTCTTATTATGTTGAGAACTTTCACCTTTTTACTTAAAGGAAGGACTTTACAGCTTCTCTTAGGCATATCTGAGTTGCTAGCATCACTACTTTTGCACTTGGGGCCATTATGAAGTAAATAGGGTGATTTGGACACAGCACTGTGATACAGTCCATTTGATAACTGAGGCAGCTGTGGAATGACTCTCAGGCCTATTTCATAGGCAGTGTGGATCCGCTGGACAAAGGGAGGTTCCCGGGCAGGAGAGAGTAGAACGAGGATAGTGCCAGAGTAGAACGAGGATAGTGCCAGATATAAAACTTACACATTGTGTCGGGCTCGGTGGCTTAGCCTGTAATCCCGCGCCTTTGGGAGGCTGAGGTGAGTGGATTGCCTGAGCCCGCGGGTTCGAGACCCGCCTGGGCAACTTGGCGAGACCTCATCTCTACAATAAATCAAAAAATCAGCCGGGCGTGGTAGCGCGCGCCTGTAATTCTGGCTACTCGGAAGGCTGAGGCGGAAGGATCGCCGGAGCCCAGCAGGTCGAGGCTGCGGTGGCCGGGAACAGCCACTGCACTCCAGTCTGGGCGGCAGAGTGAGACTCCAGCTCAAACAAACAAACAAACAAAAACTTACACATTGTGTATTCCTTACACATTGTGTATGGAATTTGCCATTTAATATTTTGGGACCATGGTTGACCATGGATAACTGAAACTGTGGGAAGCAAACCCCAGATAAAGACTACTGTGTTCCAGAAGTGTCCCTGTGTGTGAGAGGTGGTCTTCTCTATCCCAAGGGTACATTTTTTCTGGGTATGTTTGGGAAGAATTTGGAAGTAAAATGTGTACCTTATTGTTTCACTTCTCTGCTGGCATTTCTCACCTTTTCCTCGCAGTCCTGTTGACTGTCATGCGAGAGCTATTATACGGGAGTCTCCACCAACCAGTCCTGCTTCCTGCTCCCCAGTCTCATTTCACCACACTCTTCAGCGTCCTCCAAGCAGCCCTTAAGTTCCTCCTGCTTCCTCTTTGCCAGTTCATGGCTGTCACCTTTTTTGCAGGACCAAGTTTGATTTACCTGTTACAGTTTGGTCGGCATTTTTGACTGAGGCCATTTTGTTTATTCCTTATTTCTCTAGTCATTGGATATAGTTTATATACAAGTTATAGGTTGCTTGGTAGTTACCTTCTAGTTGTTGCATATTTGTAAGTTTTACCCCAAAAGGTTATAAGCTCCCATGAGCAGGAGCTGTGTCATTGTTTTGGAACCTCTTCCTCACCCATCCATACAGCAAAACATAGTGAAGGAACCTTCTTGGATTGCCGGCAAGAGTCAAGCAGAGGCCATGTTCTGCCAGCCCCTCCTTGCATAAGAAACTGGAGCTGGAGTTTGGTTAAGTGATAGGATTGCTTGACGGGGAGCTGGCACCTTCGACTGTGATTGTGACCCCTGCACTCTCCCACCGAGAAGTTTAGACAGCCGGGTCTTTACATCGGCGTTTCTATCCATTGTAGAGACTGGCACAGCATCCTGGACTTTTGAAGAATGGCCATCTGAGCTCAGGCACTCCCGTCATTGTATGAGATAAATGCAACGCCGATGTCTCTCTAAGGGACATTATGTACTTAGAAGGTATAATAAAGCCAATGTACGTTTTTGTGAAGCTGATTTTTTAAAGGGTTATTTTACAGAATCTTTTTTTTTTTGAGTCAGAGTCTGTCACCCAGGCTGGAGTGCTGTGGCATGCTCATGGCCACTGCAGCTTCAAATTTGCTGGGCTCAGGCAATCCTTCTGCCTAGGCCTCCCAAGTAGCTGGAACCACCACGCCTGGCTAATTTTTGATTTATTGTAGAGATGAGGTCTCTGCCAAGTTGCCCAGGCTGGTCTTGAACCCACGGGCTCAGGCAGCGATCTCACCTTGGCCTCCCAAAGTGCTGGGATTATAGACGTGAGCCACTGTGCCCAGCCTATTTTATATAATCTTATATTCATAATGCATTTGTTGATTTATTTTTGTATATTTCTCTCCAGTTTTTGACCATTTGTATATTTGTATACATGCTTTATGTAAATATTGTCATGGTCTTTTTTGGGGGGGGGGCGGGAGATGAGGTCTTGCTATGTTGCTCAGGCTGGTCTTGGACTCTTGGGCTCAAGTGAGCCTCCCACCTCAGCGTCCCGAGTAGCTTGGATTACAGGCTCATGCCATAGCACCCAGCTCAAGCAATTTTCTGATTTATTTTTTCACAACATTGTCTTGAACGTTTCCCTATGTTAATACACAATCATTGTAATTCCGATTTATCAGGATGCATACGTCTCTTGAATGGATGTATCATAATTTAATTGAAGGACCAACTTTGCTACTATAGGACACGTAAGCTGCTCCTGTTTTCTGTGTTTCTAAAGATTTCATTTAAGACTGACAGTGGCAGCCCTGTTGGTAATGAAATCTTTCCTTGATGAAATTTTTCCTCACTAGACATCAGGCAGACTTCCCCCACCCCCCCGGAGACAAGTTCTCGCTCTGTTGCCCAGGCTGGAAAGCAGTGGCATGATCATAATTCACTGCAGACTCAACCTCCTGGGCTCAAGTAATCCTCCCACCTCAGCCTCCCTAAGTCAGTGCTTCTCTAACATCTGTGATGACACATCAGTTTTGTGCTTTTAATTTCTAATCTATTATGGACCAGTTCTTTTTTAAAATACAAAAACTGAAAAATGGAAAGATAAACTAGAGACTTATAAAATATAAACATACAGTTTTTTTGTTTTTGTTTTTTGAGTTGGAGTTTCACTCCATTACCCAGGCTGGAAAGCAGTGGCATGCTCACGGCCACCCCAGTGTTGACCTGCTGGGCTCTGGCGATCCTTCTGTCTCAGCCTTCCAAGTAGCTGGAACTATAGGCATGTGCTACCATGCCTGGCTAATTTTTGATTTATTGCAGAGACAAGGTCTCGCCAAGTTTCCCAGGCCATCTTGAACCCACAGGCTCAGGCAATCCACTTGCCTCAGCCTCCCAAAATGCTGGGATTACAGGCTGAGCCACCGTGCCTGGCCAGCCTACAGTTTTTATTACTAGATTCAATAGACATAAATTCATTAGCTCTCTGCCAGATTGCTGCTATGTTTTTCAAAGGCTCTTCTCTCTGTACTACCCGGTAGAGATGCACTACACCAGTTTGTGGACTGGCACCAGCCCAGAGATCACACGGGAAGTGCTCTGCCCAGGGTACCAAGCCACCTGGTCTCGTCTCCTACTCTGCTCGCAGTGACTCTTCTCCACGGGGCAGATTTCTTTACCTGCCTCTTGCTACTACCTGTTCCTTTATTTCCCTTCATATTCCTGTCTTGTAATATGCTGTCTCTTTCTTCTCTTTGGACTCTCTGCTCCTTCTAGGACAGCTTCTAGTCTCTCTTCTGTCTTTGTTCCTCACAAGGTCGATAACCACACCTCTTCCACTTACTCTG